CATTTACACTGTTTATCACACACTTTACTCCATAGTTGTACTTCAGCAACAAAGACAAACATAAATAATCACAAGTATTTTAATTTAAACGTTGTAAGGCTTACAAAAAACTTCTGATGATTTCCGCCGGCCTGTTTGCGACTTCTCATTGTTAGCAGAATCGGAACTGAAACCAGCTAACCTGCTAACCATAAGTTCAAACAGTTTGACTTTAATTTGTTTTTATTTTTAAATATTTCCTATCCATTTTTATTTTACTTGCGCCAATTGGGTGCACACGTTTCATTTTATAAACTGAACGATTCACGTGTTAGTAGTCTTTCAAACAATACGTAGGAATGACTGGAAACAGTCGTCGGTGATTAAACTAGTCGTAACACCATACTCGACCTTTTGGTGTTGAGATGAGGCTGACTGGTCGAATAAAATCAGTTGTAGATAAACTGGCGGATAGGAATTGGGGACAGTTTTTAGGGATGATACATAAAATAATGTAATTGCATTTATTTATTTGCTTATAGTGAGTCGGTGGCTCAGTCAGTAGCGTCGTGGAATTCGGGCCCAAGGCAGTAGTGTCGTGGGTTCGGATCCTGGTCACTGCCGATAACATTTTATCAGTACAGTTCACCTTTGTACTGTACCGGTTCACTCCTTGCGTTGCTGTAAAAGATCCACGCACGGGCGCTTAGTCTATGTGGACGGGCAAATGCAAGGTTAAAAGAGGCCGCCAACCTCTTTAAAAAAAAATTTTTGTTTAAAAAAATATAAAATTGCCAAGATATTGTGTTTTATATACTGATGATTTAGATTTTTATGCCTGTAGTAAAATCTGTTTTAAAAACCAGGTAACAAATAAATAGGAATGTTTGTTATACTGAGTTAGAGACATTAGGCCTACTGAATAATTAAAATCTTACAGTCATGTAATAAACAAACAAATTTTAATTAATTGTAAATGTTGTCATTCTATTACGTTTTATACCAAAGTAACAAAATATTAATGCAAATGACAATAAACAATAGGAATCAAGCGGGAAAACTCCAATGTTTAAAGTAAAATTATATTAGATAATTTTCTTTGGAATGACTGAAACCACTAACCACTGCACCGATTGAACGCCACCAGTTGTTGTTGTAGTGGAATTCTCTCGGTTTTTCATTCGACTGAAAAAAACCACTGGTTTTAAAAACAACCGATTGACAAATTGACTAGTCGATAGTTTTTTCCAGTCGGTTGTCCCATCACTATACTAGTACAAGCGCTAAGCTGTCTGCTTGAGTCCAGACACCAGACATATCGCAGACACGCCGGCACGGCAATGTCTCGTCACTACTGCGGAGCGCTGGGCACTGAGCTGATTCGAACGGTGCGTTGCAGTGAGATCGGTGACTATCTTTAGTCAGAGTGACTATCACTGTACTTAGGGGCTGCCCCTAACTGTAATTCAATTAAAAAAGAGTATTGTTTATTAAAAATTGTTTTTGCAAGACTACGTCGCTGTGAAACAATTAAACAAAATATTTTTTTATTATAACTAAATTCTTTGAATTGATTTTTTGGCTTTTGGAGGCCCCCTTGAGCCGGAGGCCCTCGGAGTTCGCCGACCAGCCGCCCTGGCCAGACCGGGCCTGTGTAAAGCCCTTTAAATAAGGAAGTTTTTAGTAATATTTGATAAACTCACCGGAACTCGGCAACCGAGAAATAAAGCTCTGAATGTTATTTACATTTTCGTCGATATAAAAATAATTTGTTTAACGAAGAAATTTAAATAGAATATTTTTCCGTACCCCAACGATTATGTGTTATATCTATTTAAAATTTTGTGAGGATTCTGAAAATTACATTGAAATTGACAGTAAGTGCATTTTCAACAGAGAAATATAACCTTTTTCATAACTACAATAATTTTTGAAAAATCTTAATTTATTTATTATTCTCTAACTGTTGAAGTTGGGAACCTCAAATGTGCGACATTCTGGCACCATTAATGCAAAATTTTATTTAACACTTATGACCAGACACCCTGTATATAAGAAATAACCTCTCTTGTAAACTTCAATAAGTAATCTTCTACAGGAGATTACTTATTTTACTTGAGGATTTGCCTCCAGCAGCCCGTGACTTTGACAAATAACTTGTTAAATCCACAAAAAGTGTTCCGGTGCAATCCACTTAACGAGGACGAATTGGCTAAAGTAATTGATTCTTTGAAAAATAAAACTCTTACGGATATGATGAAATACCATTAACAGTTATAAAATTTTCAAAAATCCATTGATATAGTAGTTTACGCAACGATTGCGTTAAGTGAGTCTTTACGACACGAGAAGAAAATTTAAGGCACGAGCCTTGGCGAGTGCCTTAAAAACTTCTACGAGTGTCGTAAAGACTATTAACGCGAGTTGCGTACACTACTTTACCTACGACCGTTTTTTAATTACTATCAATCTGGATTTAATTACTAACAATCACTAATGATAACTTTTTAGAGAGGTTATTTTTTCGTGTACTGTCATTGCCACTGAAAGTGATGCAACGACTTGTTGTATAATCAGCTGATTTCCTGTAATTACGTGTTTGTTAAACTTCGTTAAATATTACATTGCTAGCAGCATTCTTACCATAAATAATATTGTATCAGGTACAATTCGGCAAATATTTCATTTATTTTTGGACTTCCACCAACTTAATTAAGAATACGCGAGTATCAACATGAACAAGTCGGATCAACAATTAAATTGGTCAACTGATCAGCTGATCAGCTGATTAGTTGACGTTCGAAGCATTACAATTTTAATTCTTTTCTCTCAATACTTGAACCTCATTGGTCCGTTACCTGTGTGGATATGAGAAAACTATGCGGATATGAAATGAAACTATGCGGATATGAAAGTAAACAGCTGTAAAGTGAAACTTTTCAATTCTAAGAACTGGACTGAAACGGCTACTTTAAAAAAACGGTCGTAGGTAAAAGCCTTTATTACACCTGATAAATTCATCATTCATTTCTGGCATCTTCCCAGACAAATTGAAGATTTCTAAAATCATACCAATCTACAAAAAAGGGGATGAACTTAATGTAGAAAATTATCGTCCAGTTTCTATTCTCCCTTAAATCTCAAAAGTTTTTGAAAAAGCCATGCATGGAAGAATCATGCTATTTTTAGAACAAAATAGTCTTTTAGATGACGAACAACATGGTTTTTGCAAAGATAAATCTGTCACCACAGCTCTGATCAATTTTACTGAATCAATTATAGAATCAATAGACAAAAAAGAATGTGTTGCTGGTATTTTCATGGACCTTTCCAAAGCATTTGATAGTATATCACATGAAAGGCTGTTACAGAAATTGCATTATCTTGGGATTCAAAAAACTCCTTTGCAGTGGTTCAGGTCATATCTCACCAACAGGCAGCAATTTACATAAATCAGTCATATAAACAACGCTATAATTTCAAAAATTCCCTCCACAACACAAAGTATAAAGCATGGCGTCCCGCAAGGGTCTATTCTTGGACCTTTGCTTTTTATTTGTTATGTTAATAATATGCCAAACTGTCTATGTAACAATGTAATATATAATTCTAAACTCGTACAGTATGCTGACGATTCTAATCTTATTGTATCTGCTAAATGTCAGATTGATTTGGAAATAGCAGCTCATATAGAATTAACACAAATCCAAGAATTTTGTTTAAACAATCAATTAATGCTAAATTAACAAAAAACTAATTTTATTTCTTTCAGCACTAAGTAGAACAAAAATAAGTGTAGCCCTCATATTTTTATTGACAACACAATAAATCAAATTGATTGTACAAAATTTTTAGGTATCCATATTGATGAATGTCTTAGGTGGGATCATCATGTAGGAAGCATTGTGCGTAAGGTAAATTCTGGAATCTATGCCTTGAAAAGAATGTTTTATTTAAGTGACCTAGCAACATTAAAAATAGTTTTTCATTCCCATATCCAATCACTTATATCTTATGCAATAGTAGTGTATGGAGGCACTTGGGCACTTCCCAGAAAAAATTTAGATAAGATACTTGTTTTACAGAAAAAGGCAATAAGAATAATGTTAAATGTAGATGAGTCTGTAAAGCAACATTTTGTCAATTTGAAACTATTAACTGTGTTAAGTTTGTACGTACTGGAATGTATTGTACATGTAAAAAATAACCAGAAAAAATTTAAAACACATTGTGAAACCCATCAATACAACACTAGAAACAAAAATAATATAGTTCTACCGAAACACAACTTAGAAATGTATAAAAATAAGCCCTCATATGCCGGAGTAGTTTTTAAAGATAATACCAAATGAAATAAAATATATTAAGGATAAAAAATAGTTTAGACAAAAACTTTAAGAATTTTTGATAGAAAACCCCATCTACTCAATAGATGAACTTTTTATGAATGTATACAGCTATAGATAGTTTTATTTTCTGTATTTTTTGTTCAGGTTAAGTATTTGTACATAGTAATTATAAGCTTGACACTATTTATTGTACGTTTTGTACATAATATAAATAAAGATAATTTGAATACAGAACAGATTTTTTAAGAATTTGCTTCAAGGAAAAAGAAAATGGGGGATTTTATTAGTTACCTTTTAATCAAGTAGAGAGTAAAATCTATTATAGTGATAACCTTTAAGAATTGGCCATTTTGCAAATGATTAAATAACGTTAAGCAGCTGTTTGTATTTTCAAAAAATCAATAAGTTTGCTTATCATCAATTAAATATTTATCTCTTGTCTGCCTTTATTTGTTATTTTTCATTAACTTCAAATCGGGTAAAAAAAAAAAAACTCTGTGGTAAGAATTTTAAGTGTTTTATTTTAAATCAAACCGACTAATAAGTGGGGTCCCAAGACCACTATATCTTAATCTTTGTTTGCATCTTCCCATTCGGGGACATTTATTGCCGAGCAAAAGTAATCAAAAGTTTTTTTAAAAATAAAAATAGAAAGGTAATAAAATACAAACATAATCATAATTTTTTTAATTTTATTACAAAATTCACAATGATAACACAAAGGTAACAGAGATTTTTACCTTCAAAAATCAAAAATGATGTTTAAGATAAGTTGAACATTATTATAATGACCGTTATAAAAATAAACATATACTTACATGACTATCTAAAAAAAAGAAGAAAATACAAACTAAATTCAAAAAACATTTTATTGTTGATTAATCTTTAACTAATTGGAGACGAACCTGGACTCGCTCAAAATACCACGGATAAATCAAACTCAGCTTAAAGATTTCTCAACTGTGGAATGTTTCCAAAAAAGCAATGGCATAACAAAAAATATTGATAAAACATTTGATTTCAAAAACTCAATACAATTCTTTTATCTTCATACTCGTGGTTTAACGATGGTTAAGTAAATCTGTCCCAGGTTTGGATCTTAATGTGCCACCTAGGGTAATTGCTTCTTCCCTCAACGGGAAATTCGCTAGAATTGTTTTCAAATTCAATGCACAATTTATAAACCATGTAGGCTTACAGTATGCAAATAATGACCAGGTAACAACTTATTTCCTTACAAACCTAATGTCAATATTTCTTACCCTTTATAACTTATCTTATAAATTGCAAGGGAATAGTGTATAACCAAAAAATAACCCTAGAGAAAACTCAAAGCCTAAGGTAAATTAACTTTAGTAGTACAACAATTTAGCTAGGTCCAGGTTCAAGACTACAATTTTCTCCAAGGCTTTATAATTTTAACTCGTCTAAATGAAATGAAAATTCTTAAACTTGCATAAATAAAATTATTATAACTCTTAAACTGAATAATTCATCTTAAACATTTTTCGCTTTCAAATTATTTGTAACACAGTTAGCCTTAAATTGTAGTGTCCTTTTTGATACAATCAGTACAGGACTATTGAAAACTCGATTGATGTAAAAATATATATTTGCTATATACTAAATTATGAGCAAATCAACATTAATAAATTGATTTATAATCTTGTTGATCTTCAAGAAGAATGCATACTTTCATGGTAATTATTTAGAAACTATACAAACTAATCATGCTTCTTAATAATATAGTTGATATATAATAGTTTTTTATATACAATAGAGAATTATAAAACAGATTGTGCCTTAAGAATCTGTGTTTTATGTAAATTTACATATTATGTTAACAAAAACTCATTGTGTAACTTTATTTAGAGCCAACTAAAGAAACTCATAGTATGCTTTTGGGGGAAGTGTCGTACTACAACAGCAGACTTTATTGGTCTCTTTCTAGAAACCACTTTCTGGTATACAAAGAGTACAGAAACCAGCTGCTTACTCTGTAGTGTGCTTAAAAAGGATTTTCCGTATGGTAGTTATTTTGCCAACAGGCGTAATTTTATATTGATTTGATAAAAAAATTATTAAATTTGCAAAAAGAATAAATGATTTCATATATCTATTATTTATAAAACGTTATCTTACCAAGATATATTTACAAATGTATATAAAAACAATTTCTACTTCAACTATACATTACTAACTGGTAAAGTTCAGTGGTAGCATCTTGGGCTGGTTTGAGACTGGTTGTGGTCACCACTGGCTTGTCCATGTTACTTATACTGTAACGGCCCTTCACCGCACAGACCAGCAGGTCCATAGTGACGGGCAGTTCACATAAAAAAATTACAACTTAAATTAAAGCGCTTATTTACAACTTATGTTTACGCCTAATTTTAGAAGGCTGCATATCCGTTGTTTGGGACACCAAACCCGAGCGGATTGTATCTCTGTTGCATCTTCTCTTGTCTTAACGCTCCAAAACCGGCATTGTTCCGTAGAGGGTAAGATACGAGATGATTGTTGTTGAAGTTGTTGGCATTGTTGATGCTACGTCCACCACGCAGACTTCCACGAACGCTCGGTCCGCCACGACCGGTGCCCCTGCCCCCCCGACTGTCACCTCTCCCTATAACAACCGCGAGGTAAAAAAATGAAAAAATAGCACATACAAAAATGTCTTCCACACTGGCTGAAAATGTTAAGATTCAAAGATAAAAAAATAGAAATAAAACACCTCTTGATACCAGTGCCTTAGGACAAAATGAAAACGGTTTAAAGTCGCACAGACGATGTTCCGTGCTCCAGCAGCATATTCATGGGAGGCTTGACAAGGGAATGTGCAGTAGATCACCCAGGTGAATCAGCACATGCAGGGGCAGCTCCGTCGGAAACTGAAAACCAAACACTTTTTCAAGATACACATTTTTTATTCGACCCTATTTGTTAACTTTTAGGAAGTGTGTTGAATGAGTGAACTTTTATTATCAGTTGCCTAAGTCCAGGCTTCTTGAAATGGGGTTATTCAAGTTAATATGAGTTTTTAAGCATTATAATGTTAAAACATGAAGCAAGCTGTTAAGCAAGAGGCATATAAAACAGTTAGTATCTAAAAAAGCAGATTAAGCCTGACGTTCAATCTACATCCTTGTGGTGATTAACTATACAGAACAGAGTGAACTAACAAGAGGAGAAGATATTCACTCCCACAACACTCCAAGAGCTATAGACTACCTTCTCCCAGCTCACCATACAACTCAATACAGCCGGAAGCCTTCCTACATGGGACAAAAGATCCTCAATAGCCTGTCTAACCACTTGAAGATCTTAAGAAATCAAGACCTGAAGAGGCAACTTCATAGATAATGTTATGTTAGAGTGGATATCCCTCAATACTATATTCTCAAAAACTTAATAAATTTATTATTTAGTTTGATAATTTGTTTAAAATATGGCCTAACATAAGGGTTCCTTTACAAGCCGACGTATAACACTTATAACAAGTCGACAATTTTTTTGTCCAAACCTGACTTAATAAAAAATATTTTTGGAAACTGGTTCTAAAGTTTCGATTGAATACAGGTTGTCTTTACTATTCACATTGAAGTTGTTATGAATAAAGCACAATGGCAATAAGATTTTTGTTTTGGTTTACACCTCACTATACGTACAGCATGATTTTCTTTAACTTCCCCTACACATATTTCATCTAGAGTATGAAGCTAACATATATAAAAGTTTAAATTTTAATAGAAAGGTTTGCTAAGTTGAGTTTCACTGAATATGCCAGTATATAAATAGACCTCCATTGGTTTTTACAAGTGATGGGTCGGTATTTCACGTCAAATGTCGGTACCGGTACGATAATGCTGAAAAATTACTGATATTGCCATTATCGCGCAAGAGAATGATGACATTTCCGTGGCCGCAGGAGATGATTTTTCCGCGATGGAGGATGACGACAGCATGATCCCAGGAGACGACGATGACATCTACACGGCCACAAGAGTTGTTCATGATTTTGCCGCGATCGAGGGAGACGATGATGACTTATACACAATGACATTTCCGTGACTGCAGGAGTCAATGATGATGTTTACACGGCCACGGAAGATGATTTTGCTGCAATCGTGGATGACGTTACTGCGATATCGGGAGACGATGATGACGTCCACACGGCCGCAAGAGATGTTCATGATTTTGCCGCGATCGCAGACGATGATAAAGACGTTTCCGAGACCTCCGGAGTTCATGATGATGACTACACGGCCACAGGAGATGTTCATGATTTTGCCACGATGGCGGGAGACGATGGTGATGTCTACACGTCTGTGAGTGATATTCATGATGTTGCCAAGACCGTTAAAAACAGTGATGATGTTTCAGTAATTTAATTGAGAAAGATATTTCAGATTTTGCAGTAATCTCAGAATACGACGATTATCACAATATTTCTTTGAGTTTGGCCGGACTGAAAATATCAGGCTGGCACACCTCTATATAGGCCTAGGACCTTAAATATGGTAGTTGTTTGATGTGATAAGATGGGTTTACACTTGGAAATTGGGTAGTTAGAACGTTTCATTGCTGCATTCATTTTTTTACTTGAAAAACATCCCTAATAGCCTACCTCAAAAATACTTAATAGAAAGATATAAAGACAGTGGATGTTGTAGTAGTAACCAATCCATTCAGAAAACTTGGTAAAACAATTTAAAAAATGGTATCGGTATTGAGAATTGTTTTTTAGGTATCGGTATCGAGAATCGATAAATTTTGTTATTAACAACATCACCAATTCATCAAATATTTTTTTTTACACTTCTGCTACATTATATATTATTTTGTTTTGAATATGTTTGGCTATTAAGTGTGTGTTTTTTTGTACAAATAAGTTTTATTTTCCTAATCCTTTAAGTTTAGTACCAACCTAATACTAATGCAAAATACTGTTAAACTGAAATACAGTATGGATATTTTGTTTTAAAAATAAAAAAATTAACTAGCATATCCTACAAAATTAAAATAAGGTACCAATGGTACTGGAAACAAGAACCGATTTTGGATAGGAACTGATACCGGTACCGACTTTGAAAAAGTGCAGCAGACCCATCACTAGTTTTTTTGGCCAGAAAAACAATCTACAGTGTATAGTGAAGAGTACCTGTAGGTAACAAAACAATTGAATAGATAAGTCTTAGGTTTAAAAATAAAAAAATAAACTGATTTTAAAAGCTAGGCTCTATGTTTAATTTTTAGATAGCATTTTTACAAACAAACCCACCTTCTTGTAACTCCAAAAACAAATTTTTATGAAAGAGCATTTGCCTACAATGACGATCCAATGCAATTTTTGTAAAAGCATTCATGCCACCTGGAATAATCAAACAAACACTTTTCGCAAGCTAATTTTGCCAACAATCCAATAAGCATCTTATGTTATCACACTTGGTGCCACTTTTGTAAATTGCCCATAAGCAAATTCATCAGCACATGACCACAACATATAATGTTCCAATAAGCAATCAATGTAAGCACTTTTCGAGCCACCTGAAACAGTTTTGGATAAACAATTCTGAAGATAATGGTTATAAACACTGTTTTATACAGTTTTTGTTTCATATTTTTATTTAATAGATCAACAGTAAAACTATTAAGTGGCTGCAAAAGGTATTTATATACATAGCCCTATTAAAAGCAAAAGTATATTACATGTCAGAAGGTGATCACATTTTATTGATTACATTGGGAAGACAAACTGAAAGTTAATAAAATTGGGAAATGTTAATAAGTAAACAATTTACAGCTGAAAAGGAGGCCCAAGATTTGTTAATAGAAACACCCATACCTTTGTTAATATCACTTTAACTTTACTTTACATTTACTTTATTCTTTGGCAATTTCATTCAGACAAAGAATACATTTTGAACCAGATTTGTCTTCAAAACAATAAACGCAATATCACAAAATGCCCAATGATATTAGAATGTTTGTTAATTCCTGAGGATTAGAGTCATTATTTTGAGTAAAAAATACTACAATTTGAATTGGAACCATCCTTAGTTGGATTTCACAGAGGACTGAAATAAGATATCCAGGTTTCCAATCTGCATGCCACTTTGGGCTGCATAAACTATACTGGGCCCATATTACCACCAAAGCTTTTGTATGTAAGGATTTTTTAAGCTTTTTAATCCAATAGATATGATTTCATCATCAAGCCCTTTTTTGGCAATAGATTCATCAATTTATGTTCATTTTTTTTAAAGTAGTTTCTAACACTTAGATTTTTTAATGTATGAACTTTTGCGTCAGCTTATTGACACTTCACATTATGAATGGGACTAACACTGATGCGTTTGGCAAAGTAACTAAGCACATTCCATCACAATTCATGCCTGGAACAACAACAAATTCAACACTGATAAAAAACACTTATAGTGAACCTGTCCCCCTTTTATTAAGTGACCCTTAATATAGTTTGAGTGTTAGAATTGTCAACAATCAGTTGATGATTACAATTTATTGTTAATGTTTAAATATCATGTACTGGCATGAAATTATATTGATACAATGTTGATATATTTGGCATGGTTTATGTGCAGCAAGCAAATTAAAATATGGTAAATGTAAAGGTGGTGCTTCATTGATGGCAGGTTATGGACTTTGATATGAATTGCAAAAATATTAAGTATAAAATCAATAAAATCATCTTAACTGAAACATATATGAACTACACGTAAGGAAAAAACACAATAATATATTTAATACATTTATTAAATTACAACTTGGACCAAAAATATTATAAATCATAAAGGACAAGAAGCAATTTATTTTTAACACAATAATTTGTATTTAACACAAGAAAATGTAAGACAAGAAAAATAGTAAATTAATAAGAGAATCAAAAAACAAAAAGTACCACTTACACAAATTAGCAAAATACGTTAGTATAGAAACACAAACAACATTACTATCACATAACAGAAAGTGAAAATAAGACAAACCAATGAAACAATGAAATCTAAAAATAATACATGTGAACAAGGTTTGCAAACCTAAAACAAGTAAAAACTATAAAAATGCATTTTATTAACAATCAAAACTGTTCTTGAAAAATTAATCTAGTAAAGAAAAATGTGTTAATCAAAACAGGTAAATAGTTGTTCGGACAAATAAATAAACCCTATATAGAAAATGCACTATTTGTACATTAACCTACAACTTCAAAGAAGTAAAAAAATTGTTTATATCTGATAAATATTTAATATTATATTATATGCATAATATTTATTTAATATTAATTGAACAAACCTTAGTTTGTTTGCTACACATTCTTTTGTTGTTTGATCATTATCATAACTTAAGTACTTATCCATAAGCACTTGTCCGATAATATGTCGCCTGTAGCCTATAACTATCTTGTAATTTACTATACTTTATATGTTTTGCAAAAAGACAACTATCCTCATGTTAATTTATGGCAAGGTGGGTGAGATATTGTTAACAAATGATTGGATGATTTCCAATTGGTGTTTTTCAATTTGTATTTCATGGGCTTCTCTAAGAATTTGATAAATTTCTTCAACCCGGTTGTACGTTTCTTCAACTATCCGGTAGAACCCGCCT